AGGGGGGGAGGGGGGGCGTCGACACCCGCCGACTTTGGTTCCTCGTGCACGTTGGCATTCGCCTTTGATAAAAGACATGCTTTCTCGATCTCGCTCTCTTCTCTCGCTGTCGATATTTAATCAAGCCGCAATCTGACAATTGATCGTCTCATCGGAGCTGACGGAGGCGTTGTGGGAGAAGTCGGGCGATGAGATTAGCATGGCGCTTCCATTGCTTCTTCTCTCCAACAAACTAAACTTGAGAGGGACAATTTTCTCTCTTCTCAGAAGGTCACCGCCTGACTCGTCATGGTGTCAAAATGCGACGGGAACATCAGCAGCAGCGCTTTCGAGTCTTGCCGTCCGCTGAGCCGGATTTTCTCTCGCTGACCTTGCCTTTCCCGCCCTTCGCCAACATGTCAACGTGTCCACGTCATGTCGTCAGGGGCTCACGTGCAGCCAGTGGGCAGTCGCTGGGCCTGTATGGGACTGGTCTATACTATAACAATAAGACTCGTAGGTGGAGGAACAACAATTCCCGTATTTCCTGCACTATAAAGCGCACCTAAAAGCATTCTATTTTCGCAGTGCCACCTTATAATCGGATGTGCCTTATATATGGATCTCTATTCTGATTTCTTGGACATATTTTAAATGTTCTGTGAAGCGCTTTGTTTCAGCTGCAGCGGTTGTGAAGGCTCAATATAAATAAAGCTGCACTGTATTGTATTGCATTCCCTTTACCGTAGCGCCATCTAGTGCTGGGGTCGGCAACCTATGGCTCACAAGCCAGGTGGGGCTCTTTTGATGATTGCATCTGGCTCGCAGATAAAACAAAATATTCTCGCTTGTTTAATCCATCCATCGATTTTTCACTGTTCAGGGCTGCGGTTGGCGGCGGGAGCAATTTTAATTGGATGATACTTGCCAACGATGGAAGTTGCTAGGTAACAGGTGAACGCCCCCTTTTGAATCAGGCCACTCGGTCATTAGCTCAAAGCTAATCCTTCGACGATCTGTGCACCATCTTTCTTTTCTCGCTCATTTTGATGGTATCAGCAGGTCCACACACACGCACACACACACACGCACACACACACACACACACACACACACACACACACACACACACACACACACAATTTGCAATGACAAAATACCATCGATGAAATGGTGGAATGTAAAGCGGCACTTTGACACGCGACATGTTACGTTCGCATCAAAATACCCTGCGGGAGACAGCAGAAAGGAAGCGTGAAAGCAACTGAGCAGTGTGCAAGCTAGCCAGCAGCAACTCCGCGTATGGACCCGGCAAGCTGACGATAATTCCGCTACCTTTGCTGGATCATTAGCAATCTTGAGGAACGGAAAATCATTCACATTAATGGTGACTATTACAACAACATTATTTTTAAAAATACATTCAGAGGCTTATTATACTGACATTTTGTTGAATTCACTTTTAAAATACAGTTTTATATATATGTATGGCTGTGACTGAAATACATTTCCAAATATTTTGCTTTCATGGCTCTCTTAGTCAAAAAGGTTCCCAACCCCTGATCTAGTGCAACCGCAGCCACTATTGTAGCTTCTATTCTATGCGCCTTATAACGTGGTGCGCCCTATATATGAAAACAGTTTTAAAGAAGGCCATTCATTGAAGGTGCGCCTTATAATCCGAAGCGCCCTATAGTTCGGAAAATACAGTAATTGATTTTGAACTTAATTGGCAGTTAATTGGTGAGAGACCTTGTCTAACTTTAAATTGCTCAAAATGTTCCGAATTTCTGCCTCTTGACAGTAAATATTTTCGGGCAGTTTCAAAGGTCAGTTGTTGGATTTAATAGACCCCGAAGACAAACTTTAAAACATAAGAGAGACTAAGGGGCAAGCACAGTTGTTTTTCTTGCAAGCAGAGTACGCTGAGACATGTCTTGGTTCACAATCTCGGAACAGCTCTGCAGCTAGCTGAGATGTGTAAACCGTTGCAGTCCCTGGACAGCTCTGAAGAAACCGCGCTTGTCTCCTTGGTTTTATGAAGGATGTCCGTGATACACCATCTTCTACAGGAGTGTGGGCAGTGTCCACACGTTTCAGAACAGCAATGAATTCCCTAAATGGGGCATTCAGTTCATTCCTGAGGTGGTCAGA